GTAGCTAGCTGTCTGTAGCCCTAGCGACCTGAGCTCAGGCACCCTAGGCAGCCGGAAAAAGGTCCGTGGAAAAAAAAAGGCAAAAGCGCAGGCGGCAGAGCAGTCAGCGCTTCGGCGGATGCAACGTTGGCGGCGGCCGCTCCGTCGGCAGGGTCGCGGTCGATGCAGAGGAAGCGGAGAATGGTGGATGGCTGCAGCATGCGCTCGCCGCAACGTATCCGCAGGCTGAGGTGCACGCCGATTTGGGGGATGTGTGGCAGGCTGTGACAGGGCACCCGCACCGGTGTGGAAAGGTGGAACGAACAGTCAAAAAGAGGCTCGTTTGGTGTTTCGTGGGGCGGGCGAACATCCTGCCAGCATAGCGGCACGGTGGAGTGGCGTGTGCAGCAACAACGACGTCGGCGAAGCAGGGGGTGTGAACCCTGCATAGGGTAGCATCACCTGGTTCAGCCGGCGCCGCTTCTCCCGTAATCTGCCCATGAGCAACTGGCAGACCAGGAACGGTTGTCAGCCATGAAACCAGATCTTGCAGATCTGCCCGGATCGAGCGGCCCTGGCCGATGCCGAAGAGCCCAGGCGTTTGGTCGACGTCGACCTCGTGGAGGAGTTGTGCCGCCCAGCTCCAACATTCATCGCTTCCAACCACAGCAAAACATGGATATTCGGCTGGTCCAAAGTGCTTGCGCCACCCAAGGTGGCCGACCTCGGTCCGGATGTGTGGCACGCCCATTGGGCACCCGGCCTTCATCCAGGCGTGGGCGGACGAGCGGCTGCAGGAGGAACAACGCCTACTCACCGAACTCCCCGACCTACAGTGTGCCTGGCTGCTCCTCGCCCTCTGCGCGTCGCCCCGTGCCATCGACGCCTTGCGCACCCTCCCCTCTTCGGAGGTAGCAGGGTATGCGGCAGCACACGATGCAGCTCTGTGGGAAACGTTCCTCTCCTGCATCGGAGGAGAGCCGGAGCCCGTCCTGGGCCGATGGGCTCCCTGTCATCTGCGCTCACTTCGCGGCCGCATGCGTCGCAGAGCTTGCAGCTTGACTTGTACCTGCCGCAGCGTGAGCCTTCAGCAAGCCTTCGACGTCCGCGCCTTCCTGCTCACGGAGGGTTGGACGTCATGTCCCACTTGGGCACAGTTACTCGACCACCACCACAGGAAGGCTTTGCTAGACCGAGGATTGGGAGACTGACCCCATGGGTGCTCACCTCTTACTTGCGTGCAGACCTTGGACCCAGCTTTCCCGCGCGGAGGAGCCCAGGCCGGGGCTTGGCTGACCGCTACGTCCTTGCACCCGAGGCCATGCAGATCGCGCTCGCGCTGCGCCGACGGCTGCTTACTTTTAACATGCGGCGGCACCATGCATAACATATATAGGCGACGTACCGGAGCTACTCCGCAACGGTCCCCAGCGCCTTGTCGTACTGGGTTCGGAGGTGGGGGGCCGCTGAGCTCAACAGGCTGCGCGTCTCAATGCGTCTCATCCGTTCTCCGCCATGCCGCGGCTACCGCAGGGTTCGGCGCCGGTGGACGCAGCTATCGGTCACCGTTCACTGCCCCACCCTGGTCGTGGTCGTGACCATCGCGAGCAGCGGCGGAGGACGGCATTCGACCTCATGTCGGACCACGCTAACGCAGCGGGGCCGAACCTTAATTAAACGATGTCCTTGTTTTTTAACTTGCTTCGATGAAGCTCCACGACATAGCAGCAAAAACGACAAAAAACATGGCAGCTGTCCGAAAAACGCTGTCCTCGCCAAAGCTGCGCGTCGCGTCAGGGCAGCCTTTCTGTAGCGGGGGCCGCATACCTTCAGTTGCACTCGCAAGAAACATGAACTCGTCCGCGTGTGGGCACTCCGTGCGCCGCCTGCCCTTCGAGCTGCCGCCGCCACCGCTTGGACGCGGAGGTGGTGGGGCATGCTGCCAGTTGCGGTGCAACAAGCCGTTGGCGGCACGGCCCTAGGAGTGCCGTGGCTCGTCTCCGACGGCGCCTCGGGGTTCGAGCCTGCCTTGGACCATGTCTTGGCGCTCACTGAGCCCGTGCGCTTGAGCCGCCTCCCGCTGAGCTAGGCGCGGGTTACCGTCGATTGCCGAGGTTTGGAGAACAAAAACATGAAAGTTGCGTCCGATTCTGCGCACATCGAACTTCGACCACAGATACAGTGTGCAGGTCGGTTTGTACCATGGACCACATCGCGTACCCATGTCTGCGAACGATAGAAAATGCAGGCTGCTGCAGCCGGCGAAGCAGATGCTGTCCGGAAAGCGTGTGTTGCTCAAGTGCGAAACGTCCTGATTCTTCGCGTTTGGATTGAAGCGCCGAGGTTGGAAAGCCGCGATCGCAGACGATTGATGCTGACCGTGGATGCACAACAGCCCGCAGCTCAAGATGTTCCAACGATGGCTAACTTTTTGAGATTGTACTGCCTGCTTTGAATTTGAAATTGTATTGCTGTGAGGCGAACGGCCGGACATCTTGCAGCGCAGGGCCCTCGTTCTTGATTTCGGCATGCGGTAGACGTGCGCGTGAGTCACTGCTGCATGAGCAAAAATTAAGGCGGGCTGGTCACGTGGAGGCGGACATGCAGGGGATTCTTCCGAGAAAAGTGCATGGACATGTTGGGCTGCTGCTGAACAGGTTCTCAAGCTGTTGCATGCCCATGGTGTTGACATGGAGGCAGCAAGCTCAGCGCACTGACCTGTCGTGGCTTGCTTGTCGTGGTGTGGCATGGGACATGAATTGGGCTGCAGGCACTCGACCGTTTCGGCCGCGCAGCCATTCATCTCGCTTGCGAACATGGCAAGGCATTGTCCACCGGACGGTATTGTGTATCACGCATTAAATGTCGAAGCCAAGCATCGCTTCAGAAGGACTGTGCCAAGATGTTCGCGATACTTCAAGTGCATGACCGCTGTTCGCGTGTGTAGGGTCCTGCCTAGTCTCCCCGGTAGCCACGAATCTGTCTGTGTGTGTGTGCCAGGCACCTGCAATGAAATATCTGCTTGATTGCGGCGCTCGTCCAGGGATAGAGGCTTCGCCAAAGTCTTTGAATCATATCGTGAGCACACTGCGTCCTGTGCAGGACAACAGCGGCAGGAATGCCTTGCATCTCGCGTGCTGCTGCGAGGCTGCGAGCCGCATTCGCAGCCTGGTTTGTTTGTGCCATTCCACTTCCTGTTTCACAGGACCCTTCGGTAGGGCAGGCGCTTGCAAGTCAGAGCCTGAACGAAGTTTGGTGTGGTTTATTTTTGCTGTGGCACTGTGGAGCGAGAGGTCAATTTCCTCAGCTCGTGTTCCAGTCGGACGCTCACGGGAGGCACTTCTTGTGGCAAAGTTATTCGGGACCTGTATCCCAGTAGTATTCGACATTCGATGGTGTGCCCGTGGTCTCTGCGACTGCGGCGGTGCCACTTGCGGGTAGTGCGGTGCTTCTAGTCCTGCGCAGGACTCCGTTGTTTTACGCCGCGCTCAATGCACATCCGCATTCTCAGGGCGAGGTGACGAAAGCGCAGGGGACCTGGCAAAGCTGCAGCATCACGTGCTCACAAGTTTGGCTTGGCATGTGGCCGCCAGTCTTGTGTTTTTCGGCCCCGAGAAATGTTAATGTTGTAGATAGCTCCGGGCTTGTTTTCCAGAAATTGCAAGGCCGATAAGATCTCTGCTTCCCCCCCAAACTATGTGCGCAAATTTTTGTTGTGTGCAATTAATTACTCGACTGACATCCGTTCGCCGCCATGGGCGCTGATATGCAGTTTCCTTTCGCACCTCGCTTTAGAAGGGTGCATTTGTGGGCAGCAGGTGTCGCTGCTGTCATTTGTGGTGATTTCGTCGCTTGGCAACCTGCTTTCGGGCAAGGCCGGGTGGGCGAAATGGCACCAAGTTACTTGGGGAAGGTGTGTTTACGACAAGCAGGGTCAAGACAAGCCAACTGCAAAAGGCTTCGCTCAGATGTCGACCGGAGGGAGGAGATAACGACAGAGAGAATGAAAGAGACGAGGGAGTAAAGGAACAATGAAATACAATGACAAGGGAAATGATTTCGTGCGATGTCGCTCGATTTGCTTGTAAAAAAGGAAATGAAGTAGCAAAATTCGGGGGATAAACAAGCAGTTATATGCAGAGATAAAGAAAGCAGGAATCAGCGAAACAACAATCGACAGGGGCACAATGAATCAAGGAGGGCCACAGAAATGCCCTCCAAGCTAGTACATACATGAAAAAAACTATATATACATACACATGAATAGAGAATAAGGAGATAGAGCAAAATATAGCGAGCCAAAGAGAAATTTACACCATAGCTACGTAACCAAAGAGAATTGACGCGACAGGAAAAAGCAGCAAGAAATAACGCATAGATCAAGAATGAGCGTCGAACCAACGAGCGAGCGAGCGAACGAACGAAGGAACAAAATGACGCAAGTTTGAGAGAAGGAACGAACGTGGCACACAGAGAATACAACAAGCACAATGGAAGGACGAGCAACGAAACTGCAGAAACTACATGATGTCGGTCATGAGAGCATCTGTCGTGTTGTGACCGTGCTGCTTCATGTTCGTGAAATGTCCGGAGCTCGCTTGCCGTAGACAATTCTCTCTGAACGACGGAGAGCTGGAGAGGCTCTGCTCCTGCTAGCTGGCATAAGCTTGCGCGCCCGGTTGTCTATACTAATCTTGACATGGCTTTTTACCCACGAGGCGATTCGCACTGCATTTTTGCGGGCTACTGGGTTTAACGATCGGCACATGCAGTGAAACTTGTCGATTCCGACTGGCGCAGGCATCGGCTGTGCACTTATCGGTTATTTCGTGGCTGCGCTCTTTTACATGCTGTTGGTCAGCAGCCTCACAGAAGTGTCTCAGCCACAATTGATCATGTGATTGATGTTTCCCGGCCCCCGCCCATGTCCTCGGGGTCCTCGGGCTTGCTTAGTTCTTCTCTGCCCAAAACGCTCAGGTGATGAGTCGGATGGGTGATGCGGAAGGTCCCAGGCAGGTCGCAGCTTGCATTGGGCCCAGGACTGGTCTATGTTCCGGAGAGCAGGCGCTGGTGCTGATGGCTTGGCCTTGTGTGGTTGTTATTGGCAGTGCTGCTCGCTGCATCTTGCTGTTGGTGCTACCGGTGGTGGTGGTGGCGGTGGGGATGGCGGTGATGGTGCTGGTGGTGTTGATGATGGCATGCGTTGGGGTGTTTTGATCCACATCATGGCGACTGAGTTTCAGTGTGCTGTAGACTATGGGTGTGCGAGCCTTGAGTGCTGTGCATGCGTCTGGGCAACTGCAGCTCGTGAACGTAGCGTGGGCATCTTCACCAGGAACACGCAGTGGCGCTCAGAGTTAAGAGTACGCCCAGCATCTTGCAGGACATCATTCCTGGCTGGGCTCATGGAGTGCTTGAAGTGCACTCTCATCATTGCCGACATCGCTGCTGCGACCGGTGCTCTGATGGAGGACAGATGGACAGCCCCTGCGGGGTTCCAAGGTCCATGCCTGCTGGGTGGTCACATTCGGAAGCAGTCGGAAGGTCGCATCGGTACCTGCCAGGAGCTAACCGGGTCCCCTTCGGATCTTCAGCCTTTGTGGTGGTTGCTTTTCTGCGCCCTCATCTTGTTGCTCAACACGAAGCTCATGTCGATGTCGGTGCAAACGCTGATGGCGATGACCCTGTCAAGCTTGGCTATTGTGGTCATATATTTCTTGTTTTCGTAGCTAGGCTGCATGTGTGGATCGAGAGCACAGCTCAGACAAGCAAGACTGCATGGACATGTGTCAGGAGCGGACGAACCTTTGACCTTGCGCAAGAAGCGATGGCAGGTGAGCATGGCCAGTTTGGTAAGTGGTATGTTGCAGGGGTGCTGCAGTAGTCAAGCCCAAGCAGAAGCACTTCGCAGCTGCCCCTCCCTCTGTGAGGAGGAGACATCTTGAGTGATGTCTCGTTGCTCGCATTTTTCAAGTCACTTCCGGCTGGTATTTGGTGTTTCCTCGGGCTGGAAGAGATGCTCTGGTTTGGCAAGTTCGCAGTAGATCTGAGAACAAGACCCTTGGTGGCTTTAGGTGCCTTTCGAGTGGAGAGGTGATGCAGTCGATTTGCACTTATGATTCTCGCTCGCTCAGATCTGCCACGTGCTCTCAGCTGGGCCTATGCTACGCTCTTCATTTTGGCAATGATGACGTTGATCTGTAGTCTGGCGGCTTCCCCAGGACGGATGTTAACAAAAAATGATCGGCCCGAAGTGCGTTCTGTAGTCTCATAAATTCAAAGGAGCCGCATCGAGCCGCTAGCAGCACGTTGCCAGGTACGCACGTCACCACGCATCAAAAGTTCCCACTGTTGGTTGCTTACTTCGACGTCTTTGGGGAGAGCCGTTTGACCCGCTACTTCGCATTGCTTCTGCTCTTCGGCATCCTGGCCACCTGGCTTGGCACAGTACGACCTGGGACCTAGACTCTTGCATGGGTTCTGCGGTGGCAACAGCCTGCAGATTGTTAAGCAATTTGGGTTTCGGGGCTGCCTTCCTAGACGAAAGCCGCGCAAGAAAGTAAGTGGCTGACCTGCCCCTGGTTTTTCACACTTCAAGAACTTGCGAAAGCAGTGCATGCAACTTACGGTATGTACATCTGCATTTCGGAGCGCATGGCGTTTCCACAAGAAGCTTTGCTAAGCCTTGAAGCCTTGACGCAAGCATATCTGTCCGGAGACCCTGAAGTCAAGTTCAAGATCAGGTCTAGAGCTTGCATGAGACCGGGGCACAAATCTGAGAAACGTGAAAAATAAGAGAAGAAGCAAACGCATAAACACGAAGGGCAGACCCAGGCAGCAGGCACAATCTTTTCGGCATCGAGAGGAACGGACGCTGCAGACGCGTGAATTGGGTGTGTCTTCATATGGACGTGCGCAGACTTGATTCTTGAATTGTGAATTGTGCCAGTAGGCCGGTCACGATTCGGCATGGATGCTTTTCCGAAACGGAGGCTGAATTCACTGGAATGATTACGTAACCCTGCTTCGCGACATGTTCGGCCATGCAGGAGGCAAAAACGCATCCACACCGACAAGACACACGAATAACGCGTCAGGAGAAAGGAGTAGCATCACGACAAGCCAGGTCCAGGTTCAGCATAAGGGAAGCCACCAGCGTGAAACAAGCCAGGTCCAGCATTGAAAGAGAACGCACCAGCATTGCCAGCATAAGAGAAAGCGCGGGGCGTGCATGTGGGGTGAGGAGAACATGAGTGGCAAAGTAGCAGGTTGCATTGTATGGTCTGAGGCGCTGCTGAACCGCCCCCGTCTAGGATGCATTGGGAGCCGAGGCCTCGCTGCATGTCTTCACCTTCGTGGCCGGGCAAATGGTTACACAAATGGCAGAAGACTCATTGCTTCCGGCATGCTTGGCGCAGCGGGATGGACAGACAGGACATGTGCATTTATGTTGGCAGCCTTGTGGTCGTAAAGTATGTAACTGGATGGACACACGAGTCTGTGGGTGCGAGGAGCTCCAACATATTCCTCGGCCGTAGTTGTCGTGGTGGCGCTCCTCTTTTTGGAAGTTGTTTTCCAAGCCCTAGATCACCAGTACGAGCCCGCCATGCAATTGAGTGGAGTTCTTGTCAGAGAGTTCTTGTTACATTCGCCAGTAAACAATGTGATGGCCTGGGTGGCCCACTGTGAACAGTGTGAGGGCGTGAAGTTTTGCATAGGTCGGGGCTTTCTTCATCGCCGAGCAAAAACAAACATGGAGCAAAGAGCAGCAGCACAGTCGAGGAAGAGATCAGAGCTACCTTCACCAGCGGTGCCTCGATCTGCGCCCTTGGTGGCTACATGATTCAGCTGTGCTGTTTCATCTTGATCAGATACAGAAACCAACTTGAGGCAGGGCATTGCTTGTCCAGGTGTGTGTGTTTTGGAGTCCATTGCAACATGTGTCAAGATGGTGCAGGACTCCATGTTCCTATCTCCCTTTGGAATGCTGGGCGCTGGTACAGCTTTGGTGCTCACGATTGTCTTCATGGCCAGCGTGCTGTCGTCACCTTTGTTCCATCCAGTGAACTTCTGCACCCCAGAAGCACTTGAATGTCCGGGTTGTAATGTGCACATATCATGCCTATGATGCTATGCGAGTTCAACTGTTTGGAGACTTGTGGCCGATAAGGCGGAGTCGCGGTTTCGCTAGCCTTGCTTCTGCTCGCTGGCTGTCTTCATGAGTCGTACAGACGTCAGCAGAAGCGACGGGCGGCAAGAAGCGGCAGCACCTTCCCCAGATGGGCCGAACATGAGAGTGCTTGAAGTTCAACCTCCGGTTGGTTCCGCGTTGATCCCACGCGATGCTAACCTTCCAAGCTTCGCAGCCCCCTGCATCCCAGGCACGATCTTGCAGAACATGGAAACCCGCACACCGCAGCCTGAAGCAAGGGCATGAGCTGAGCTCTGCTACAATAGCGGTGCTTCGGACCTAGGAATTCGATGTGCCTCGCGCAGAACCGCATAGGCCTATCGGCATGAGCGAGCACAAGCAAGATGAAGGCACAAGGCCTGTCTATCGAATTCTGACAGCTTGCCAGTTCCGCCGGCAAGAGAGAAGAAAGTTTGAGCTGGGTGTGAGCCTTCTGCAACATTACCATTTCTTGATGAAAGTTGAAAGGTTGCTGCAACTTGCGGCGGATATCAACCACCGCGACTCCTTCGGTCGTGCCGGACCCCGCTGCATCCAGAGCCTCGGCAGATCTCGACCACAACGCACAGAGGTTGCTCTTCACCATGCCGCAGAAGAAGGCGCCTCGGAAGTAAGCCGTGATTAATGTGATTTGGCTGACAGCAGGTCAGCTGCTGTCAGTCCGTCTCTTGTTGAAGAACAAGGCAGATCCAGGTGCCCAGGCGGGCAGCTCAGACTACAGCAAGCAGTCTCGTAGCCGCTTTTGCGCAAGCCCGATCAAGAAGACGAAGATCGAAGGACCGGGAGAAAGAAACACCTTTGCGGCTGGCATCCAGTGATGCGGCCGGGAACCTGTTAACAAGCTGTCGAAGGTACTTAATGCTTATAATGATGAATGATGCCATGCCAATTTTCTCCTTCTTCATTCAGCTTTTGCGGCTCGAGCTCCCTTCCTTATATGATGTTAGGCTTCATGTGAGGGCGCGTGCCCGCTTGAAGTTCAAGTTGAGAGGTTGTTTTCAGTCAAAGGCCTGGTCATGTACCTGTGCCGCTGCAGCACCGCCAATGCTTCGAATTCTAGTTTCAAGTTTCAGGCATGGCTGAAGCCGAGCCGAAGAAGTGTCCTGGCTTCCAGAAACTTGAGATGTGAACACCACAAGAAATTGTTCCAAGACCGTCTTCGTTTGTGCACGGCTGAGGAGCTTTTCCATGGGCATAGACTTGGGGACTACATACTCTTGTGTGGGAATCTTCAAGGATGGAGAGGCGGGACATTTTATGCTGTTCGGTTCCAGACAAGATGTGACATGGTGTTGGCAGCAGGTGCAGATTATTGCCAATGACCAAGGCAACCGAACGAATCTTGGCTACTTGTACGGCGAAGTTGAAACCCCCTGAACGAACTGTCATATCTTATTACACTTTATGTGAGACCTTTATCACCACAAGCAGCAGACAGGCGAAAGGACAGGCTTGCACTGCATTATCTGCAGGACGCCATCTTATGTCGCGTGGACGGAGAACGAGAGACTCCTTGGTGATGCTGCCAAGAATCAGGCGCGATGCTGATGCACATGCGCAGACGAGGGGTTTTGCAGCAAAAGGCAGATCAAAAGTCCGTTCTGGAAGGTTGCAAGCAATCCGACTAACACGGTTTTCGATGCGAAGCGCCTCATCGGACGCAAGTTCCAGGACTCTGACGATCGAGCCATCGTGTGAACTAGAACCTAGAGCTCTGTGTGCTGACGCGGGGAGTCGGGTTCAGTGGTTCTCTCTCTTCAGGACCCGGTCGTGCAGGCCGACCTGAAGCTGTGGCCCTTCAAGGCCGGAGTTTGCGAGCAGTTAGTGGGTGTCGGACGTACCGTCACCCAGCCCAGCACCTAACAGGGATCTGTTTCACTCCGTGTCCTCAACTATAGTGGGCAAAAGGACCAGATCCGGTGTGCGATCAGGCCCTGGTTAGTCTAGGACTAGAACTTGAACTCGGCATGCAAGCCATATTTAGTTGCCTCCTACACCCTGTGCCAATGGAGAGGTCGTATCCGATGGGTCAGCAGATGACAAGCCTTTGATTGAGGCGGCCTGTGGCATCTAGCGAGTAACCACAGCTGTGAAGCTTAGGGCATGCTGAACACTTGCAAGGGAGGCTGTGAGGGACAGGCGAGCACGATTCGCATGTGCGGATCCTTGGTCCAGTTGTCAGGTGGTGTATCAGTCAGTCGCAAAGACCTTTCATCCAGAGGAGATTTCCTCCATGCCGACTGGCAGCACTTGCACCAAGGTTGCATCGAAGCCCAGACTCCTGCCTTTGTCCGGCTCAGGATTCTCACCAAGATGAAGCAAACGGCAGAGGCATCGTTGCAGTTTTCCTGCGCTGCCGACGGCTTCATCGTGTTGAGATTGCCCTGTAGGCTTTCATGGGTCAGCGTGTTCGAAACGCAGTGATTACTGTCCCTGCCTATTTCAACGACTCCCAGAGGCCAGCGTGATGTACCTGCACTGCTCGGCTGCACTTGTCTTGCAGAAGTTGTCAGCTTGCGCAGGCAAGCTACGAAGGATGCCGGTGAGATTGCTGGACTGCGCCTTGCCAATCTCCAGTCAATGTCTGACCGGCGCTGTGAGCATGCTTCACGCGGAGCTTCGATGACACAGATTCGTCCCGATGCTCAGGAACGTCATGCGAATCGTCAACGAGCCCACCGCGGCAGCAATTGCGTACGGCCTGGATGCGAAGTCGAAGGAGAAGAAGAGCGGTGCTGCCGCCTGGCACAGCGGAATAAGGAGGGGCTTTGCCGTGACCGTTTGAGTGGCGAGATGCAACGTGCGCAAAGTCTTTTCAGAACGACGTGTGCGGCCAAGACCTTTCGCAGCAAAGCGCCTCCCCACTCGTCGCGACCACCACAGAAAGGGCACAAAAAATATGGGCAAATCTCGACTGTCCGGGCTGCGTCGAAGAGCCACAAGGCTGGCGGCCATTTCGTGCCGACATGCTGTCACAGGTGAAAGATCTGTTCCATATTTCCTGACGCAGCTGTTGCTGTAGAGCGTTTTACCCAGTCACACATGAAGCAGTTACTAGTTGAGAGCGGCTTGCTCTGTCGGAGGAGCGCGACCGGCGCCCACAGTGGCTTGCATCGTCTTGGCTTGAAGAGCCATGATGCTGGCCTCCATATGGCGCCGACATGACATTCTCGGTGGGAATGTGCATCATTGAAACCTGTTCTGGTTTCTCTGCTTTCAATTCCCATCGCAGCTGTTGTTGTGGAACATTTTGAGGCAACTGTTTGATTTTGTTTCGACAAATTGTGCGGTTGGAGGGAGTGC